CCCGATCGTCCCAGTCTATTTATATATGTAGAAAATATTCTACATATCCTAGGACGTCTCATAATTTCTTACCGTTTTTAGCTTAAACATCAGTATTTCTCTAGGAAAGGGGCACCAAAGGTCAAAAATTCATGATCATAGTTCTCTATGTATGAGCTATATGGTCACGTGCGTGGGAAGAGCTCAGGACGTTTAGGGGCGGAGTTTGCCGTTTTACTCCATTTGTATTTTCTTTACTTCTAGCCATGGAAAAAAAATCGGAAAGTGTACAATTGAATGTGCAATGTGTCAAGCATATGCTAGGACAAATGGGGGATTTTTTTAGTTTTTTTTTGGGCGGAGATATGATTTTTGACAGTAAAGTTCGTTTTTGACTACTATCAGATTTCACCTTGAAACTTCACGTGGAATATGATTTGAGCAGATTTTTTACAGTCATCTTGTAAAGGCTGCTTTGCTCTATCGAATGATTACAGCAGCATCAGCTGAAGGAAAGATACAAAAAGACGGCGGTTGTAGTAAAAGCTATAGAAAATTATGGGACAATAAAACTAAGAATGCTTTTGAACTGACGTCAAGACTAAAAAATATTAGGATGGCCCCGAAAACTCTGTCGCCACCATTTTCAAAAATTCATAACCTTGTTTTTAAAATGGAAAACCAGAAGTTATATATCTTTAAATCGAGAAAAACGTCAAAACAATTCAAATTTGCCCTTTTGTACTGTTTGAAAATCACAACTTTTTATAGAGACGCTCATCAGCACAAACCTTGCACAGTTAGAAAGAGTAGTTAACAGAACCTATTATCCGGAGACTGTTCCGTTTTTACCGCATGTTTCAGATTCTTATGACCCTACACAGAAAATTCAAAATTTGAGTAATTTAAGTAGTTTAACCTCAACCACTTCTATCTATGGAGTGTGTGCTCAATAGGAAGTCGTTAAGATACAGCTATAAAGAGCATAATTTGCTCTATCAAATAGATGTGAAAACAAACAAATCGGTCAAAAAACTAGAAGTGAGTTTTTGAAGTGCGGCAGGTTTTTCGGGCCAACCTGACATATTCTTGCGAACAATTCTCAAAGCACTTTTGCAAAGCTGCTCCAAAAATTTCACGAACAAATATTATTCAGTACACTTCATACATTCTCCACATAACACCTCGCATTCAGCTGTTCACCGGAACATCATCTGCTCAGCAGTAATCGGATCGTTAATCCAGCTGATCAAACTCCATTCTGCTAGGGGCTCAACTGTGACCAGATTAGTTTATTTTAGCTGTATTGATATTGACGATGGGCGTCATAGCGAAAACCTGCCCCACCATTGATGTGAAAAGTCGTAAACTGTTCTTCTCAATGTCACAGTGTCGTGCTTTGTGTCTATTTAAGATGCGAGCACGCGAGTCGATCAACGTCGCTACCTTGTTTCTCTTCTTTTGTATCAATATTAATAAAATATATTCATAAACGTGACTAAAAAATATGCAAAACATGCACCCAATGTCTGATTCCACGAAATTTTTGAACTCCAATTTTTCTAGGATTAAATGAAGCTCTCAAAGATAAAATTAAAACTTTGCGCAAGAAAAGTCCTTAACTCTTTGAACATAGTCGATTTCCTTAGCATGCGATTGCGCTAGATTGCCAACATCTTACATTGTTACATAAATCTGCTGTGAATGTGCTTAGACAAAAGAAAACTGTAATTTATACGACTTAAAATAACAATGATAGGGGTACAAAACGTATGATACGTGTGGCTTAGCAAAAGTATTTTTCATATCTTTGAAATAGGAAAATGCCACTTTCTTTTCAGCTTCTGCTTCCTCAAGGAAAGTTTTGAATGCTCATAGAAACTCGCATCTGCTCTTTGAGATATTTAGAATTTATTTCTGTGAAAATGGTGAAGGATTTGCTATTCCTAGTGACGCTGAACTCATTCTTGCTAAATTTATAAATTTCTAGTTACTGATAGTCACTTCAAAATTTGGATATGGAGTTGTATACTGATAATGTTATAATGGAATCTGCTGTGTTTTCCAATCAGGAAAAGTTCTGCAAGCAAAACAGCTTTTGCGGATGAATTCTAAGCATGGGATTTTATCATAGTAAATGACATTGCAGGATCCCATTTAAACACAGCCTCTTTGTCAAGCTGTAATAAAGTTTAATCAGCTTCTGAATCCTTCTAGAATTGAAGGTCGAAATGAAAGTGCGAATCTTTGCAGAGAATTTGTCTTTTCAATCGATTATGGATTTGTTTTTATGAGTCATGCGTAAGTACAAAAACTTTGATCGAATTTGTGACCGAGTCTATCTGCGCGAAGCGCGGATCCATTCACCTAGCCGTGTGTTCTGTTCTGTAAACTTGTCTTTTTGCTCTTGTAGAGTGCGATTATTTTTATTAGAACGAGCTTTGAACCTTCTCGTCTCTTATGGTCCTCGAATTTCCTTTGCTACGGTAAAAATCATAAGTTGTAATATCTTTATGCTATCTTTCCTTTATTTCTTCAACAATATTCAACAATATAGCTTAGGAGGAGTTTTCGATTCATCATCAGACAGATAAATAATTTTTTTAATGTTGTTGATTCCAGTCCAATTGAAAGTTGAGGATACGTAGTTTTTTGGAATTCTCAATTTGAAAACTTTCCTACAATTATTAGGTTGGTGCAAAAGTTTCCGCCCAAATTCAAAAATTCATAACTTGTTGAATTCTCAACGAAACTGCAAGATCTAAATTTTGCTCAAAAGAGAAACTCATGCTCTTTGCATCTGTGCCTGAACTGTTCGTAAAAGTTTACAACTTAAGGAGATAGAAGCTCAAAACTAAAATCACTCAAAATCTGAATTTTTCGTGTAGGGTCATAAAAAATCGGAAACCTGCAACAAAAATCGGAGCAGCCAGGATTGTAGGTTCTTTCACCAGCTCTTTCTACGGTGCAAAGTTTGCGCTGATTGAGCGTTTCTATAAAAAGTTATGATTTCCCTGAAAAATGCCAAAATAAATCAAATTCGCCCTTTTGTATTGCTTGCTCGAAATTCATAACTTTTCACAGAGGCGCTCAATCAGCGCAAACTTCGCACCGTTACAAAGAGCAGGTGAAAGAATCTACAATACTGACCGCTCCGATTTTTGTTGCAGGTTTCCGATTTTTTATGACCCTACACGAAAAATTCAAATTTCGAGTAATTTTTTGAGCTTCTATCTCCTCAAGTTGTAAACTTTAACGAATATCTCAGGTACAGATGCAAAGAGCATGAGTTTCTTTCTTAAGCAAAATTTAGATCTTGCAGATTCGTTGAGAATTAAACAAGTTATGAATTTTTGAATTTGGGCGGAAAGAACTTTTGCACCAACCTAATAGATTACTGATCACTGTCTAGTTAGAAAATTACGACCGAGGTGAGCTAGGTTAGGTTTCGGCAGAGTTCGCGCGATTGCATCGCCGCGATTCAATCGCGATAAGATAACTGTAACAATATCGTTGCATGCCGATCTTCTTGTAATTTAGTTTTCCATCACAACCAATCGTGACTAACTATCACGACCGAAATACAAGAAGACTGGCATACAGAACTCGTAACACTTGTCTTGTAGCGATGAATCGCGGCGATAAAATCGCATGAACCCTGCCCGAGGCCTTACACTCTTATCGACATGATCTGAGGTCATGTTTGCTTCATTTTGCACAGTGATAATGCTCTAAACAGTATGCAGGTCAGGCTACTATTGATACTGTTTGCTGACCAATTTGACATCATTTGCATCATTACGTGCCTTGTCTCATTTCAAAAAAGCTCTTAAATTTGATTTTAGTTGAGGTCGTATACCATAGTGTGCCCTTTCTACATAATTTAAATTACCTCAGTATTATCTGCTGCTTATGAGTGTATTTTGACTAAACTGCATCGAAAAATGCTTTGGAGTGACAGATAGTTAGTAAATTCAAGAAATATCGCTTTAGTACTTCTCCTTCGAGAAGAACGCTGTTTTTTTAAGGAGTTAAGTTCAGCCGATTTCTTTAGCTCCGCGTGATCCCAAAAATTCAAAAGTTCTTTCCAAAATAATTATTGATACTCAAGGGTAGAAATGAAGCGGATTCAAGTTTCATAATGGGTGCATTTACAGTCACGTAAGAATTTTGACTGATGTGTGCATTGCACAATTCTAGGAATGCTGAGACGAAGCGTAAGGCCCTTAGCTTATAAATGCTGAAATTGTAAATGAATTGCGCTCCCAAATGTGATTATGCCCCACCCTGGATCAATCTGGGAATCTTGCAATTTTTTTTTTCAATCTCAGCTATAACCGTTTTCAGCCTATTTAAATATCAAGTTCGGGCACTTTACTTCAAAATTCGTGAAAGAAGGAAGTGATTCTGCCGCAAAATAGAGGACGAGTGCAATTAGTCTTTAAAGTCCTTGTCTTCAATCCGAATAACATGAGAAAGATTTACAAAAACATGTTCGAGATTCTGGTTTGAAGACTGAATAGATCAATTCATACTTTCGAATCAACGAATCTGATTTCATACCGCCTTTTTATACATTTTCCACATATCCGAAAAAATAAAACGGAACTGTGACTTCTAACAAGATTCCCTCTATTAATTGTTCATGTAACAAAGGCAAAGACTATGAATTATTTCTTAGCGGTTGTATCTTTGTGAATCATTCTATAGATGGTATAGTGTCAGAATTTCGGATTCTCAATCGATGATTTAGAATGCACATGATTTTCTATGTGAATCACCGCCACATCGAGAAACGAACGCATAAAAACGGAGATTGTCGATGAAAGCGCCATTTTTGGTGGACGTGGATTTATAGTCGTCATAGCTATATGTATATATTCATTGTGCAGCCTGCTTTCGTCTAACAAAGATTTTATCTTTTCTCTGATAATTCGTCCAGAATTTTGGTCAACTGATCCTCTCCTTATTCTTTTGATTCATTTTGAAGAAACACTTTTGGAATGGAGCTCTTTTTGCAGATGAATTGCTTACTGCTCCTGGCCATCGCTGGTTGTGCATCAGCGATCAACCTTATAGGAAGGACACAGTCTGTTGCTGTAAGTCTATAAACTTTTTCATTATAATATGGCGAATGACTGTCATCTGGAAAGTTGCTTAAGGAGCAGAAAGGGGAGGGGAAACGGAAACCTAGATGCCTATTGTACAGCATTTGTTTGAGATGGCCAGATAATTGATATTTTTGCCATATCTAAAGAGTTATTAGTGAAAAAATAAGTATGATGTATAACCAGTTTTCTCCGCATACATCTGAAACAAATCATATATATCCAACACATTATGACCCTGTCCGGTTGTCCGCGTACACGGAGTTCATCGACGAGATAGCGTCCTTTAGCCAAAAAATAAAATCCCTTAGTATTTTAGGTGTATAAATTTGGGAGAAAAATCAATTCACCTCACTCCTCCCCTTCCTTCGCACCGTACATTTTTTCGAACTAACAAATAATGGGAGGGATGAAAAATTACAACATTTTATTATTTGTGGAACGAAGCACTTGTTTTTATCGAAATCGAATCAGAATAAATTTCATTTAACGATTGCGATGGATAAGCCCAGATGGTATAGCTTATGCTTAATAATTTTGATGGAATACAGCGTTCTTGTAGAAATTTATTTATTTATTTATTTATTTATTATTTAGTTATTACATACGCTCTAGGCGTTCCTTAAAAAGACAAAAATACACAGTTACTCATACTCTAATACCACGATAATTCATCATGTAGTTTGGGTCTAAGCATTCGGACTAGATTATTGGTGTGAAGAAAGCCTGTTTGTGACTGCTCTAGGACTGTAGTCAACAGAACTGAATTAGTGTGTTTCATGGAGATGGTACCCATGCCCCCTTTTTTGCCAGCAAAACAATTTTGATCCAAACAAGCAAACGGTTTGATGGTTGATAAACTGTGTAATCTCACCAAACCGGTATGCCGAGGAGAGTACAGTGACTCAAATGGATAGCAGTAAGGATTGTAGAGAATGAATAACTCGTATGTGAATAAGATCGTATTAAGCTAGTGTAATCTATGGAGTGGTAATCATACCAACTCGTTTGCCAGCAGAAAATGCTCTTGATAAAATAAGCAAAGCGGGGCTCGGTTGATGGAATAGTACTAAAGAACCTTGCCCAAATGATTCCGGGGAGGGCCCAATGCCTCCGCAAGAACATCAATGAGTTTTCTTTTTTTTTGTGTATCAACTAGAGCAAGTCAACAAGCTGTACTGATAGAAAAGGGCAAATTGTTTAGACCTGAACTACCATAATGACAAAACATGGATTAGTAAGACATGTAAAAAAGAAAATGCCACTAAGAAAAAAAAACACGAGTTATAGTCGTATTGGAAACTGAGTTTGTAGTTTAAAAACTCCGTGCACTCGAGTTGAGTGAAACGCATAAATAAAGGCAGGACGAGCAGTGATCATGAAGAAGTTAGGGTGACCATATGAATGAACTGAAGAGCGCCATTGCCAACAAATTTGCCTGTAAGTAATGGCAAAGAGCGCTCTAAGGTCATTTTATGCACGCAAGTCGCAAGCAAGATTTTAATACGATATTTATTTGTTTTTGCGCAAATGTTGCCGTCACCGCAGGGGCTCTATATTTACCGTCAAATCCACTAAATCAGACCAGTTCTTTTTCAAATATTTCAATAATTCAAAATTTATTTTGTCAAATTTTCCATGCAGTTACTCCCTTTTCCCACCTTCCTCTTTTTGCTCGAACCTATCCCACGCTACCCCCTATCATTCAGGTCCGTGGCAAACTGACGTGCAATGGCAAACCAGCAGCCGGTGTCAAAGTGAAACTGTACGATTCTGATAGTGAGTGTGTTTTCATGCTGATCATTGAATGTCAGGGGAGTTTTGGCGGAAGGGGCGCAAGCAATGTTTGTGTAAACAACAACGCATCGAAGGTGTAATGTTTTCGACAAATCGCAACAACAATAGCATCCACGCACCGACGAAAGAGTTTTATAGGCAATAAATCGAATGCACAAAAAAATCAATATTCTGTCGAACTTTGAAGAAGGGCAGAATTTTTCAATGCTTCTGTTTTGCTAGAAACTCAGGTTTTTTCCAAAATGAAAATTAGAGAGAAGAAATGTAGAGTATAGGACAGGAGAGTACGACCAGACTTCATTTATGGTAATCAATTTTGGTTAATCAAAAATCTGGGCATCCTTTTTGCCATAGCAATCAATATTCCACCGTAGCTCAAAAAACGAAGATATTCATGCCCTGGTTAACTAAAGAAAAGTAAAAATCCATCAAACTGAAAGATTATTTTCGGAGGGCTACAATAAGACCTATTAATATAATATTAACTTCTATCTTATTAGGTAACCTTGCTTAACACTGACATTTTTACATTTTTACCTACCGAGTTATTTTTTTTGTGAATATTCAACTTTCCTGTAATATATACCATGGAAAGTTCTTGAGCGCAAGTTCCAAAATAGGATACAGTTACACACAGCATTTTTGCAAGACTTCAGATCATTAAGGTTTAAAATTCTGTTTGAAGATTGAAGTCAAATCGAGCCGATCTTTGAAACCAAAACAAGTTTGTCAAGGATTTGTCGATGAGATCTTCAAACTTCGTTTATCTAATCGCCAATTTTCCACTCGTAGGAAAAGCTGGAAAACTAGAAAGTCTTTTTTCAACCTCGAAAAAGTTCAGTCAAAGGGATTACAGAAATGAAAGGATGATTGCTAATGTGATATATATGGTAAAGCCGCCAATGTCAAGAGGAAGATTTGAAAAAGTTCTAATAAGTCAAACCTCTGTTGATTTTGTCAAAAACCATTATTAGCTTATCGGCTAATGCTAATCTTCAATTGCCTTTTAGAGACTATCGATTTCTCTTCCAGACAGGCTTGAACTACAAATAATTTGGTCATAATTCTGGCGCTTTCAATGAAGTCTACGGAAAAATGGCTTTTCAGGAAACTTAAAAACAAAGCCTTGGGTCATTGCACTCTGCAACAAAATAGTGGTTTTTTCAGACAGTTTCCTCCCCGGTGTTGTCGATACCGATGATTTGATGGCCTCTGGTAAGACCGATTCGAACGGCGAATACAACCTTTCGGGAAACACGAAAGAAATCACTGGAATTGAGCCCTACATCGCTATCTATCACGACTGCAATGATGGAATCAAGGTTAGAACAAATTCATTAAATCATCTTGTCTTTGAAGTGAGCGGAACTGGTTCCTAGGGCCATTTTCTCGTCCGAAGGTATCAAAGTGCATCTTTTTGTGCTAAAATTCTCTCATGACATATGTTCTGCACTTTTGTTTCTGTTTATCATTCGAACAATTCTTTCATTCAGCCGTGCCAACGCACATTCCGTGTCGGAGTCCCATCGAAGTACGTAACAAATGGAAAGACACCAAAATCGACGTATGAAGCCGGACAACTGGAACTCGCTGGAAAATATCCGAAAGAAGGAAGAAGCTGCTTGAACTGATCTTCTTCTAATGATTTTTTAAAATGTGCTCGGTCCCTGCTCAATAAATCGTCGCTATCCTATTGACAGATAATTGATGAAAAGCGGCCCATGGCTAATATGACTTATTTTCATTTTTCATTCTATTTACTGCACAAAAAGTGACTATCGGCTAGTCAAAAAGTCTAGGTGATAGTCATCAGGAGTTAAAAAAAAGAGCTCAGATAAAACCATCATATAAAAAATATTCTCAGTTTTTTATACTACCAAACATGGAATGAAATAAAGTCATAGTATCCAAATTTGACCATTTTAACACCTATTATCAACTACTTACTTCACTTACCACTTTAATACCTATGATTTGGCTTCAGAACCAAGAAAGTGAAAATAACAAACATGTTTACGGAGTGATGAGTCAAAATCGAAATTCCTGCCGTTGATAAGAAAACGAGGTCTCTCACAACAGTTGAAAACAGCGTTGTTATCTTTGGTGCTATTTTTCTAGCTATGCTTAAAAATTCTTTTTCAGTCCGTGGATGCTCTTGGTAACCTCATGAACTGACTAGGCAGACAAATCTAGTAATACTCGAATATTCAAGCTTTTACGTTAATTCTAAACGAAGGACTTTGAACCTACAGCTGTAGTATTTATGTTATATATAAGATACTACAGGATCAAGATTTCCAACATGTAAATTTAAACTTATTCTATTACAACTTCAATTTTGACCAAAACCTTTTAGAATAAAAAAAATAACATAACGGGCTGTTGTTCCTTACTGAGGAGCTCAGAGAGAGCCCAAAGTTCCTACACTCCGTCTAGGGGCAGGAACGGAAAGGAGCTAGAATACTCTTTTTTACAAAATTGATCTTATTCATCATAATATAATACCACATTGTACATTTTTCTATACTACTATTTCCATTTCTATATCTATTTCTATTTCTATTAATACAGATTCATCATTTGCGAAATTTATTTCCTAAGCGATCTATTCGATCAGAAACCCAAGAACCCATCCATATAATCAGTCGTTAGGAATAAACCGCAAAGATCACTTCATTGTCATTTCTTCACACTAGCGCATACCAAACAAGACATAGCAATCTTCCTTTTTCGTCATGCTCAAGACAATTCATCGCACATCTCGCAAATTCATGATGTCTCACTTATGAGCTTCCAGTGCAGTGTGCATAAATTAACAAAGATGGGAATCATTCGATAGTGGAAACAAACGTTGAACAACATGTGCATAAGGCATTTGAAGCATTTGCTTTCAAGATTACATAGGAATCTTCAGCTAATGCAAAATATTGAATCCCACTAAATCGGACCCCTGCGTCAGAAATTTCGCGACTCCCACTTATTCGTCACAATTTGAGAACGTTAAATGTATGTTCTTAATAAGAACTGCTGTTCATGTTCCGTAAATCAGAAAATATTATATTATGTCGAAGCGCTATTCATACCCACCCCACCCTCTCCCATTGCCGCTCTAGCAACCCGCTTTCGCCCTACATACGGACATAATAAACGAAAAAATTATTTTTGTGCTTCACAAATTAGTACAGTTTGACTGAATTTAGAAAAGCCTCGCATTCCTTTCAAGTGCTCTCGATCTGTAGTTTTAATAGCTGATTGTGCTACAGACGTTAGAGTAAAGTCAAAGCTTTTGAGGACATTTATACACGTAACAGAAGATCTGAAAAAAGATTTTACCACACTTCTTTGGTGCATATCCTGACTCATGCGTATTCTCAACCCTGGAAGTTCTTGCAGTCGAGAACAACAACTCGAAGGGTTTCAGCCAGCATAAATTTTGCGAGCCGTCCAGGAACGCCTTAGCCTTGCGCTAGGAACACACCTTATTACTTTTAGTTTATGGTTAAACAGATGCACAAGAAATCTAATCGACTTGGAATTTTGTGGGGTGCAAATAATCGCGAACAAAGTTTCCTCAATTGAGCACACCGTTCTCAAACCTGCTCTTGTCATATATTACAGTCAAACATTTCACAAATACGGAGTAAAAGATTTCCACATTTAACCTAAACAGAAGCTAGTTCTTTGCGTATGATAAAGGAGTGTAGATTAAGAATTGTTTGCGAAAACTACGAATGGTATATTCTAGTTTTTTGAGTGGAAAAAGTTTTATTGCTCCACAACTAGCAGATGCAGACAAAAACATAAGCAAGAACCGTACTCATTGTTGCTTGGTCTATTAAGCACAATGAGTCAATGCTTTGCTATTTCTAGGGGAAGACATATGTAGAATTAGAAACAGTAGTCTGCCTCAGAAAACAAAGAAAAATGGCAAAAATAGAAACGGAATGCTAGATCTTAATATGGTTTCTGAAAGTTGTGCTAAGCTGTATGAGACCGCCATCTGACCAACACTTTGGGTTTCTGTAAATTTGTAATTTCCTGATTTTCCGCCTCACCAACACCTACCAAATCGCAACAGTCATCCCTCCTGTTGATATCCATTTTCGAGGAAAACCAGTCACGGAAATTATTGCGACCTCTTGTCGAATAATATGCCATTGGATCTCAAAAATCACATATTTTCAACTGATCTCGTCTCGGTGGCCATTACACATCATTCGATAAGCCAACAAATGTGTGTCTCTGGGAATCACAACATTACAGCTTGTCATTGATCAAAGGGAGCTCCTCTGGAGCTTGGCTGAGTTTTTATTCTCGTAGTCTCACAGCTGTCTTCTCCGAGGTTTCAATGGGAATAATCAGCATAATCTCCAATAATATGGACCCTCTTCCTCCTCTACCGCTGGACAAAGATACGTAGCTCAAGGATCAACTATCCCATCAAATTCCTGAAATACTCTCCCATTCCTCCTCCTTCCCCCCCCCCCTGTCAGATGACCTTCTGAACTATGACTAATGCCGGTAGATTCAACTTTATCCATAGCAGCTGTTTCTGATTGAGAAGCGGTGACTCAGATCACCGTACTATAGCTTCTGCTGAGTCATCTGTCATTTGTCACCTCCTGACGACCATTCTCGCTTTGACCCTCAAAGATTACACCTCAATAAACGAATAAATAGTCGAGAAAGCCTGTCCCGACCAGGTTCACGTCAGCAGTTTTTTCTCTTGTCCTTTGACTACCTGCCGTAGCCATGCTTTTATTCTCACTATTTGTATTTGTTAGACCTTTGATGATATGACCTGTTATTCTATGAAAGCAGTTCTTTTACAATTTTTATACGTACGACATTCTCTATAAATATCAAAATCCATACTTTATATAACTCCCATACATTTTGTTTAATCCCAAATCCCACTCTGTTTATTTGTCTGCATTACAAAACCTATAATCATTGTTTCTCTAGCAGTTGACAATTTGAGGCTGACTGTTTTATTCAGTTGTCTGGAAGAAACATATAGATTATTCTACTTCAATAATACGAGCAATATCCAGGCGATTACTGCTTTTTTTCTGAAAGGTTACAGCTTCAAAAAAATATATTCAGAGAAATCCTATTGATCACCACTTTACTTCATTATCACTTTCACTTCAGAAAAATGCAGAAAACAACAAGGGCGTAACAGAAATCGTTTTTGCTAGATATCTAACCTTTCAAAACCAAAGCTACCAAAATGTGTGGTTTGAAATGTGGCAAAATAACCAATGATATACAGAGTGTCCTAATGTGCCTGCGCTTCTATTGTTAGTAACTCCCTTGCCTTGAGGTTCTTCTAGCTTCAGGTACCACTTTGTAGAGCTGGCTTCAACTTACAATTAGATTTACAGTATGGAGCGAATGCCGATCGCTTTCCATTGAAACTTACTGTATATGGCGTCATTGTGAAAAAGGGACGTCGATTTTGAACTTAGCTTTGTACAAGATTTTTAACTCCCTAAACGATGTAACCGCATTTTTTAGAAACATGAAATTAACGGCTACACTGCCTACCTGACGTAACTTTTTGAGGAAGCTTAAAATGAGATTAAAAACTCATATTTGGATTCATCAACTCTAATTAGCTTAGTGTGAGAGTTTTGGGGTCGCCATGGCTCAAATCTTTCTTCGAAATTTCTACAGTAATTTTAAATTCTACAGTAAAAGAGCAATCGATGGTTCTTTTAATACCGAGAATCTAAGTTGATTCCAACTCTTTAAAGTGGTATCTAAAGCTTCCTTAGAGACTTTATGCAAGAGAGTTACTGACAACCAAACAGTAGGCACATCTTCTGGGACACCGTGCATCCTATGAATCTGATCAGGGAGCTCAAACAGTTTTTCTCATGAGAAGTGACTTCGTGACAACCTCTAACCCCCATTCAAAATCGACGTTTCTAGGGCCAGAGAATACTGTCCTTTCATATGATACCTAATGATTAGTCAAAATGACGTCATTATCTTTATTATTCAAACAAAGCTATCGCATTGCAACTCAAAGATTAAGAAAAGCGAATTATTTTGTAGAGCTGCTGCAGGACTTTGATCTTGTTGATGCATCTTTTCAGTCTACTTACAACTCTGTTTCTTACTCAAAGCATCAAGTATCAGTCATCACAACCTTGACTCCTTGCTGTTGTCGTTCGGTTTGACATCGGTTTAGGATTCCCACTTCGCTTAACGAGCTTTTTATGACTTCAAAAGAAAGTCTTCGTTCCAACTTAGTCATTCCGCAGTATGTATGCTGCTTAGTCTAGTATCTACTGAATTTCTGGTTTTTCAATTCTCTAAGCCGTTGTATGGTTTTTTTTCACATCCTTACTGAAGGAATTTTCCTCAGCTTTCGCTTCCCGAAATGGATGAATAAATGAGTTCTTTGCTATTCCAAAAGAGCTATAGTTGATTCGTTGACCGCACGGATTGGGCATCACTGCGAGCACGCGCCGCAAAACGGTTGCCCCAGTACAAATTAGCCATTGTACAAATCATGCTCTAGCGACTCCGCAGGAATTGAGCAGTCCATGCGGTCAATGAATCGACAATATTTCAAGCCGTTCTAAATATTAAAGAACAACAAAATAGTGTATCGAAATCGCATAAACCCATTACCGTAATCGTCATCTGGGATTTTTCTTTAAGACTTGATTGTCCATGATGAGCTGAATCTTTAGGGCCTTCGTGCATCTTATCAGTTTGATTGATCCCTTTTTAGTTGACATCAAAATCCGCCTTTGCGAACTTACAATTAGTCTTGATTGAATTAACCAATTGAATTCTTTTCAACAAAGTCTCCCTGTATTTTAATGTTTCTTCGATATTGTGTTACGGTCCCAGGTGGATTGATTTAAGTTCACTATTCCAGATATGAGGTTTCTAATTGTGTGCGTTTTACTAAGCTGTGTGGCTGCTGTCGATTGGTTTGGCAGAGATCAATCATCTGCGGTAGGTATAGACATTTATCCTATATGATTTTTCCAATAAAGTCTAAATGCATATAAAACACGTTAAAAATTATTGACAACATTTTTGGGTAATCGGTACCTACTCAATCATATCTTGAAGAACTGAACGTGCCACAACGAAAAATATTCTCGTCTTTTACACCGTTGTCAAGAGGTCTTTCAAGCTAGCTGAAAGTACAGCTATAAAGTTAAGGTCATTTGGGCAACTGTTAGATACAAGCTGCGGTAGTAGGAGATGTTCCCATAGACATATTTATTTTTGGGCTCCAAATAGATATGTGTGAAAAAAATTTGATCGGAATGGCTGATAAGTA